ATCCCCCCGACCCCCCCCCCCCCCTCGGCTACGGGCCTGAATTCTGAACCTAAAAGGCAATAGACTTTTGCATGTGTTTTCAGCAGATATTTACTGAGTTTGTCATTTCCTTATTCATCGTACCACGTCAAGTAAAGTTACAAATGAAACATTCTGATGACATACATTAGTGATGGCTAATGTCCACGGAGTGATTTGCATGCGTTACATCTGCGCTCGCTTATTGTGTATAACTTTAAAACTATCGTAATTGTTGCAAATAGAGATGCTTGAATTGATAATTGAATTTGACCATAGAATTTGATCTCAAAAATATATATCTTCGCAACTATATATGGGGATCTTTGGATAAGAATCGTAGAAGTGTACGTGACAAGCATCATACCTGAGCATATGTCCGTGGTCCTTGTGATAATGCTCACATTGACACAAAAGAAATGTTCTTTTAATTGTGCAAATCCTACATAAACGTTCACATGGAACTAAAGAAGTATAGAGATTAAAGATTTCGAGCAAGCTTAGTTTGCATCATATGAAAGTGGAGGGCACCGTATCAGCGGTACGTAATCAATCTCAAACCATTGTAACTAATAATCAAAACCAATGTAGTCTACGTAATTTGTATTTAAGAAAAATCTATGTAAATCATGTAATCGATACTGATGCACCGCAGTAGGAGCACAATACACTGTTGAATTTATACACATTGTAATGAACCCTTAATAGTTATGATAATTGATGTAAGCTTTTAAGATATAATCAGACACAATTTAAATTAAAATTCACTTTAAAATGCAATCTGTAACTGATGGAAAATAGTATGTTAATTTTAAATCTTCAATCTGTAAGCTAGAAAAGATAATTCTGTGCACTCTGTAATTGATGGACGCTATCAAATGTATGTACAAGTAAGTTATATATAGAAGCGGGGCAGCTAGCATGTCACTTATGGAATTTAATTTTAAATGGAAATTTAGATAAAGTATAAAACAGGTGACAGAGAGAGACACATGGAGAAAGAAAATACATAGAGAGACAGCGAGATAGAAAGATACACATACAAAGAGTTACAGTTATATGCACTTAAATATTTATGCTGTGGAGAACAATACCATAGAAACTATGGATATAAATTATGTACCTGTACGTAAGAGAAAGAGCGCAAGGGCAGAATGGAGACCATCCGTGACAGCCAAAAGTCTCACAATGTCGCGGGATTATGAGGAGATTCGCTCTGCTCAGATATAAATGCAGATTAACTCAGAGCATTTTTGATAATGACAGAACATAGAAGTGGATAGAGAAGGCGTCTCACCTACGTACATGTACTATGAGATCATTAGGTAACTGTGTGTAAAGGATGTCCGTGGGTACACTGAAAAGGCATTCTAAGTCTCTAGGTATCTATGTACCGAGGACATTATATGGAACTCCGAAAAGGGCATTCAGTGATTAAAACGATTGAGGTGTGTCGCCTCTAATCGTGGACCAAGGTAGACAAGGCAATGTAGTGGAACTGCCTGTCGGGAGAAACGCGGGATGGACTGGTTGCAGAGATAGCTCTTCGGTCAACAAGTGACCTTCATCAGCAGCAAGTCCAAGGGAAAAATAAAAAAGGGGTAAATGGGGTGGTCGGTTAACAAAGATGTCTCGCCTTTGTCCGGTGATTGTTCATCAATGGCATCTCACCATTGTGAATGTTACAAACCACCGTTTTTTTTTTTTTTTGTATCATGCTTGAACACAAGTGTCCCGCTTGTGTCTCGTGTCAAGATGGATGGTTATCCGGAATCACCGTTTTTTCCGAGCTGCTGCATCATGTTTAGGAGGTGTCTTCCAAAAACTCAAGGGATACGTGCTGGAAGGTATGCATTAAACATGTAAACGGCGCTGGAGTCGGAGGTCGACTGCGAAGTTGCGAATCTTTGTCATGGGTGAAAGCGAGGCTGGCGTCTGATTGGCTGCTTAGCTTTGAGTTTTGATTGGTCGCTGTCTTGTTGTATGTTGATATGACTGGTGCATTTTAAATTATTACAGCACGCTAGTCCTCTGGGTATCGTCCTGAAAATTGACAAAATGGATGACTGGTGGAAACGTTTGGAAGACTTCTGTGTGTCGTAGAAGGTTGGGTTCTTAGTTGAAAATCCAGTGGTAAGTTTAACCCATTGGAAGTTAGGATATGTTATTAGAAAAACAGTTGGTATTAGTGAGATGTTCATTGTCCTAGTTCGTTATTTAGGTTAGCAGGCATCTTTCCTTTTTATTTTTGGGGCGCTTTGTCAGCATGAATATATTTTTGCTTTAACTGACCATGGGAATTATTCAGTAGAGAGATTTATTAACGTTCTTCAGGCCCGTAGCCGGGGGGGGGGGGGTTCGGGGGGGGGGG